AAGGGTCTCCGGTTCTCTACACTCACCATACGAAACACAGCAGCGTTAAGCTGCTATTTTACGCTGGTATTCTGTGAGAGCGTGGTCCTTCCTCGGTCGAGCCGACCCATTCGTACTACAACTATACTACTAATATAGTTGCAGCATGGCTCTACCACGTAAATAAAGGATGCTGGAGAGCCATTCTTATCTCGCTCAGACTGACGTCCGGGATATAATTATGAGTATATGATGTCTGTTGCCACCAAACTGATATAATATATTCATAATTAGCAAACGTCACATGTAGATTGTAGTAAATTTTAGTAGTATATATAATAGAAGTAGTAATAGTAGTAGATTTTATAATTATTATATTGTTGGTAATAAATGATTTGCGGTTTGTTATTATAAAATCAGCAATATCTGCATCTCACTTTTTCACTTTTTCATTTTTCTTTTTTACTCACTATGTGTTTGTGTGTGGTAGCTGCAACAAGTGTAGCGTCGTAATAGTGGTACTGGTTGTTGCATATTCGACCGTACGTTACTCACTATAGGCTGCACTGAAAACCAGCTTCGTGCATAATACCACGAAATAATTCTGAGTGTAGCCTTTTTATACCAAACCCGCACACATAATAAAATTTTGATTGTAATGATTTTATTTAGGTTTTAATTTTGTTTTGGTCTGTAGTTATAAGTTTTTTAGTGCATAATATCTTTTGTAACATGCGTGTTGATGTTTGATGTAATAAATTTTTTTTTCTTTTTTTTTCTAATATAGCTGCAGCATGGCTCTACCAATAATGTCATCATTTTAGTACCTACCTATAAAAAACGGTTGACCCTGCAAGCCATGCCTGGAATTTCCCGCTATGTTCAACATTAAAACGCTCGACAAATATTTTTGCGAACTAATAGTTAACTCATAACATCAAAAATCAATCCAAGCTGAAATTTGGAAGTTATTTAAAAAAAAAACACTTTTTTGTAATTTTTTGACAACGATAACTTTCGAAGAGATCATACAATTTTGATGTAATTGGTGATGAGTTATTTTAAGAACAATAATATTTATTGTAAAAAAACGATTAGACTACAAATTCAAGAGTGAAAAAAATCACTTTTTCGAAATTTTTGTAATCGATTTGTCTTCAACGCTTTAAACGGTTTTGAAGCTGTTCGCAGCAATCGACCTAATTTTACATGTTTAACATCTAATTAGATTTTAGAATTAATCAATAAATCTGTTTAAAAGTAATTCCAATGAAAAAGGTAATCCATGAATTTTTTTTAAATGTTACTTTTCGGCTTTCCTAAAATCTACTGCCCAAAAAGTATAAAAATCTAATTTTGGTAAAACCCTTTCGTTCCTTCAAATCGGTCAAGGCGTTCAAAAGTTATGAGAGGTTTACACACACACACCCACCCACCCACCCACACACACACACACACACACACACACACACACACACACGCACGCGCACGCGCGCGCACACACACACACACACACACACACACACACACACACACACACACACACACACACACACACACACACACACACGCTAACTCGCGCACACACACATTCGCGTAATAGCGCAAACGCACCCACACGCACACGTGCACACGCGCACACGTTCACTAACGCACACGCGCACTCACACACGCGCACTCACGCACACGCGCATATGCACGCACACGTACGCACACGCATCGCACACATACACGCACGCGCACGCACACGCATCGCGCACATGCACGCACACGCATCGCGCACATGCACGCACACGCGCGATGCGCATTCGCGCACATGCGCACACGCACACACTCGCACACGCTCATAGGCGCTCACGTGCACACGCCACCAGGTTTGTTCAAATCGGTTGCATACGCACACACGCGCACAGGCGCACAGGCGCACACGCGCTTTCGCGCACACGCGCGCACGCATTGACTAGTTAGGGCGTGTGCGTATGCGTTGGTGCACGCATGCATGCACACACACGCACGTAATAATCACAGACGCACGCACAAATACACATTCATATATACATACATACATAAATATATAAATAAATAAATACAGATATAGTGACATCCTCGTAGGAATAGTCAGTATAGCTTCCTAGGACCTCAAAACGTCGAGATCTGATTAAACCTCGAATTTCGAAATCTGGGGTGATACCAACAAATTCCCGATTTTTTGAAAATCATTGATATCATAACGGGAAGTTAATAGTATGGAATTCTTATTGTTATCACTATTTATTGCTGGAGCTACGTGACTTTTTTATCACAATTATACCTTTCGTCTTTGGCCTAAACAGACCTTCGGTTGTACACTAGGTATATTCATAATCGGATGCGCGATATACTTGAACTAACGAGATGTCATGCAACCGTGTAGTGATCATAATAACGGCTTGTTTTACATAATATTATTTTGTTAATTGTATAACTGAACATTGGTTAAAAGATTATAACAATAATATTATGTTTAATTACAGTAAACACCGGGCGGTCAGTTTCTTTGAAAAATATTTACGCGGTGGCTCCTCAATATTAGCTAATAAATTATTAATAAGTAAAGAACGTAAAGATACTATGAGCCTCTTTTTTAAGCGAACTGTAGAAATGGCATGTATTAAACTCGAGTACCTCATTGTTGTCAGTGTTTACAGACCCACACATTTTATGAATGATTTTTTTTTGGAAAAATTACGGAGGAAGTTTCGCTTAAGCTTAGAGAATAAATCTGTCGTTGTATTTGGACACTTTCATACCAATTTCCTTAAAACTTCTTATATGAGTATTAAGTTTAGATCATTGCTCAAATCATACAACCTTGTTAATTTAGAAAACCTGCATATCTGAAAAATAAAAAAAATATATTTCGAAGACATGTGAAGTTCGCCAACACGCATTGGGGTTGCACGGCGGACATTTCCTTGCCCTAAAACCCTCTCAGAAATGAGAGGAGGCCTGTGCCCAGCAGTGGGACGTAAATAAGCTGCAATTTTACTTTTTTTTATATACACCGTTTTTACAGTTAGTCAGCATTAGAACAAACACAATGGCTTTGGCTTCGGTGGAAAGTTACAGCAAAAGTTAAGCAATCAGATTGGTCGGACAGTCGGACAGCCTTACATAGGGCTTCTTTAAGCTTTTTCCCTTGCTATTCCCCTGGTGTTGCCGTTGTTCATAGGCAGCGGTAGACGCCTACTATTAGGTGAGCCGCATGCTTGTTTGCCACTTCTATACAACGAATTTCAAATAATACGCTAGCGTCTGTTGTGGCGTAAATAGTCCATTTCCAAATGGAAATAGTCTGTTGTGGTCCAAGTGGTGGAATACCAATCGAAAAATATTAAAACCAAATAATTGGTTCGAATAAAAATTTTTGAAAGTCAAAATACTTTTTACAGAAGTTAGGACGTCAAACTAGTACACAGTTCACGTGATGGAAAATGAATTCTGAGGCTTACAGATACAAACATACCTTAATTTATCTTCGATTGATAATAATTAAAATGCACACATTATTACCCATGAGGACTACAATTGAATGCCTAGTTTACAGTAAAAAGGATATCCGGTTCTCATTACTCACAATACGTAACTCAGCAGCATTAGAAAATTTGAAAATAATCTCCTCAGCTGATTACAAGGCGGCTATTTCGTTATAGCAGACAAACACACTATTTATATGTATAGATATAGATATATAAATATGTGGAAATTAAATGCTCGTTAAATCTAACTTGTTTACTGAAACTGTCTGTTAGTTATTGTTATAAAAATAATTAAGTTGACAAATAATAAATGCAGGAGTGATAAAATAGGAAGTACTAACAATATGTTATTAAGGCGACCGGTGCTATTTCACGCTGGTATTCTTTGCGATTATAGTATTTCCCGGCCGAACCGACCCATTCGTGTTGCAGCTATAAGAAGCAACAACGTGGCAAATATAATCACCATCATTATCATTACAGCCCATCACCAGTCTACTGCTGAACATAGGTCTCCCCATAGAATGCCACAATGCATGGTCTTTAGTCACCTTTTCGAACTTAGAACTAATTTTTTTTTATAGACGATAACTGAACAACATCAAGATTTAATTTGTTTTAAAATTTCGAAAAGTTAAGCAATTAATTACTTCCTTTTTTATATGACAATAGCTTCATGGTGTTATACGTTTAATTCTTAACAGAAAAAATTAAAAAAGAAGTTGTTATTAATCAAAAAAAATTAACATAATCTTGACAACTTTCGAGTGTAGGTCTCAAAAAAATTACCAACAAATTTGTATGCCGATGCATTTTTTATAAAAAATATATATTTTGCAAGCCCGAAAACAAAAATCAGCTTGTTATTAATAAATTTTTTCAAGTCACCATTCTGACATGTTAGAGCTGGGGGTCACTCGCAAGGTACCATTCACTTTGTTTTTCTCAGTTTCCATCGTATTTTCTCGAAGTATATATTGATATTTAGAAACTGTTATTATTTAATTTGGGACACTCATCAAATCGACGAGTTTCGCTTTGATGGTTTGGTGATTGGTTCAATGATAAAAGTTGGGTGTCTCGTCAAAACGAAGCTGTGTATAAACTTTCAGCCTGTTATTAATCACTGAAATCCCTTATATGTGGGCCCGTGGACTATACAATAAAGCCTTAACTGCGCAAGTATGTTATTCATAATTATATTCTATTCCATTACCTTACACAACCAGAAGTTTTTTTATTTATCACAATTCTTTGCTAAGAAATAGTTTAATTGTATCGGTCACTATCCGCAACCCTTGACACGGGCGCATTTGAAACCTATTGACCCGTGTTATTCCGTAGTTGATTACTGGGGCTCACGTGAGAGGCCATTATAAATTCGGACCTACCCGAGTATCTTTTACATTATTAGTCCCACAGCTTTCATAGAAACAAGTTAAAAGTAACATTTACCGTTACTCTGAAATTTTTAATAATATTTATACCTGAAACCACGTCAAAATGAATTTTCGAGCAATATTTTTATTCGTTTTTGTAAGTATATTTTCTATTATTTCTACCAATAACTTTTTTGATTGTGTGGATCGGTTTGAAAGATTTGATGGATTCACCAAGTTTCGTAGTGGATTGCAGTCTACTTTTACCACATCCACAAGGTTAAATCGTGAATTAAATCACCGTTACCGTGAGGTTTTTTTTTTATTCACTGCAAACATTAATTTGAACCTTTAAAAGTACGAGTATTTCGTATATTTAGCAACGATTTAAAAAGGGTTAACTGGAGCAGACCGTTTATGTCCGCAGCTTAATATAAACCTTTCTTGTTGTAGGAGTTAACTTTAAAGCTGCAACCTTCTGCCGAGGTAATTTGCTTCTAACATAAAAGAGATGATTATACTACAATCTAGCGGAAGCCATTAGATTTTTCTAATATTTCACCTTAGATGGGTTTATTCCGTTTATCTACCCTAAAAATCTACCCTGAGATGTATACTACCTTATTGCACTAATAATAAGGAATATATTTAACTTATTTTATTTTCGGGTTGATGTTTTTAGGTGGATAAACGGAATAACGCTCTCAGATTATATAATTTCTAAAGAGAGAATTGCAGGCAAATATACATACACACATCAACAGAATCTAGGGATATTTTATATTTCATTTCATTTCATTTCAAATATATAAAAATATATGAAGAATTTTCTGATATAATAAGTGGAATTATGATAGATTATTAGAAGTCTATAATAAAAATTAAAAAACATTTCGTAACTTATTTGTTTTAAATAAAAATGTTAATTTTATTTAATCGGCGTAGAAAATTTGTATGATAAAAAAATTTCATTTTTTCTTATAAAACTAATTGCAAAAATCTTATATTAATGATCTAATTATTAATAATCAGTGTTGTCAACTCTTACATTAATTACCCATCGACATCCATTGTTCATACTTAAAATTAAATTGTCCATGTCTTGCTGAGGTATGAGGTCCCATGTTCTTTGCATTAGTGTTCATAAAGTTGTTGTTCCGTCGACAAATATAGCGGGAAATCTCTCAAAGCTTTTCGTTGTAACGTGTCCCAGGCATGCCCGATATAATTTAAGTCGGGCGACTGTGCAGGTCAATCCAAAACTTGAATATCGGCGCAGCTGGTCTCGGAGAGCGGCTGACACCAGCTTCGCCGTATGGGAAGGAGACATTATCGTACATAAGTAGAAATCCCTGACCCATTTGGATTCTGCGTAGGACAATAACAGGCTCTATTACCTCCTCATGGTATTTTTGTACAGTCATGCTGCCTTGGATCCAAACGAGCTGGGTTCATCCACTAAGACTAATTCCTATCCACACCATGATTGTCCCGCCTTGGAATGAGTGTACATCGTGACGTTGCCGTAGATGGCCTACTCTCCCTGGAGTTCTCCAAACGCGTATTTTTCGTGAATCGGGATAAAACACAAACCGGGACTCATCGGTGAACAGCACCAAAAATGTCACTGCATGGCAAATACTCCCAAGCCCGCGAAAGCCGCCGACTGCGATTGCCATGTCGCAATGCTGCAAAACGTAGCGTTCTTCGAGCATCAAGGCCAACTTCATGCAACTTCCTTCACACGGTTTGGTAGCCTACCAGCAGCTGGTGGTCCTCCTGGAGCCATTGTAGTAGTTGCATCGCTGTGATATTGGGTTTTCTTCTGGCGGTCATTTGGAGAAATCAATGCTGCCTCTACGTAGTACCACGATATCTACTCGTGTGCCGTTTAGTCACATCCCCAGTACTGCGATAACGATACCACAACCTTGATATCAGCTTAATAGCAACTGGTGTGCAGGGCCTCAGCAACGACGCGTCGAATAACCCCATTTTCTAACATGCCCACGGCTCGTAACATTTCATCTCGACTCAAATGACTACGTGACACGACTCTTAAAGCTCAGACGGCACGTTAAATTAAAAAAGAAAATCAATCTAATCACTTATCAACTAATAATCATTAATTAATATTAGTAAAACAATTTTAATTTTCCTAGACGTAACTAATGTCTAACAATTTAGATGCCGTTTTTTGTTTTTCTTTTGTTTTGAAAATAGATTAAAAGAGAATTCAATCTGTACATAATCATTTTATGGAAACTAGAAAGATTTTAAACTATAAAGTCGTAAATAATCTAAGGTATCCCTAGATTCTATTGATTATTAATACTAATATCTATACAACACATTAGTGGAAACAAATACCAAAACGGGGTAAAAGTGCCCGCGATAATTAAAATTACAAAATGACATACATACAAGGCGATTGATAAATAATTGGAAAGTTACCTAATATCATTAAATATTTCCAGTTTTTGTGAAATCTCGAGAAAAAATCATAGAACAAGCCACCGTTTTTCACATTATATAAGAATTTATCGTCAACTTTAAAAAATGTTTATTTTATAAGGCAGACACTTGAATCGTATATTGCTTGATAGACCGGACATCGTTTTACAGAACAATAAAATAGGCTAAATTAGCTAGAAGAGGTCAAAGTTTGTGGATTTAAATAACATTTAAAAATTTACTAACGGAATTGCACGACATCGTTGAATACGTACGGCTGAAATTGTCATAAATGCGTTCATCTATTATTATCAATTCATGGTTGCTCCTTATTCACCCCGCACACCCGATTTAAATAATGCCAATAATATATTATTGTGTTGGAAATTAATTTCCGGTTATTCCGATGTATGTTTTCAGATGCTTTTGGCAGTCGCAATTGCATTCCCATCAGAAGAAAACAGATCAAGACGTGACGTCGCGGAGTCTGTGAAAAGTGCTGCGAGTGATGCCAAGGAGGCCGTAAGCGACGCGGGTGCTGCTGTTGTCGACGCGGTTACACCAACAGAGAAGAGTACTAAAGATAAAATTGTAGACAGCGTCAAAAATGTTGGTCAATAACTGTTTTATTAATTTGTTACAAACTTATAAAAGCAAGAATAAAGACTAGATTTCAAAATTTAAAAATTGATTGATTGAAATTAACTGATATATTATATGTATATTAATAAATAAATCTTACGCACAAAAAATATTAATGGTTTATTACTTACATATCATTTTTTATGGATGCAAGTGTATAGTAAATTATTTTTTCCATTATTTGCTACGCCGACACTAGGAATTTCGTTTTTTCGTATATTTGTATGAAAAAAAAATTGCAAGTGGATAAATTTAAACACAGTAGAACCGGAACAATTATTTCACTGTTTCGTTGGTATAGTGGTCGTAAGCGCGACTGCTGATTTTGACCCGAGAAGTTTTCAGTCAAAAAATTATAAGTAGGAATTCTAATTCAGAAAGTTACCTGTTTTATGCAAATCGTATGTATGTATTCCATAGAAATAAGAAAAATAGAGGATATGCGATGTGGTCACGTGATCTGAAGTCAAGTGTTTCTCAAATATGGTGACGACTCCACCCACAAGAAATAGCGTTGTTTTTGTCGATATTTTCAGTATCGATGCTATATAAATTATGACGTACTGTCCATCTCATAGGTATATATTAAATAAATATTAGATCACTACACTATTGCATTGGGTTAATCCTGTAATAATAGTTGTATTGAGATAATAAATAAATAAAGCTTATGTTAAACTCAGAATAGGAAAGTTTTAAAACTGTAATTGCTTTAAGATATGATGAAGCAGGAGTCAAAAGTGAGCGAAGAGATCAAGGAAAGAGCACTTGATTGGAGCTTCAACTCCTTTTTTTTCAGAACACGTATACGACGTGCACCAGAATATTATACTGAGTTCGTGCAACGAGCTAACGTTTTTTCGTAACGACGGCAATCTGAACATAGGCACTCCAGCCGTGCGTCCCTGAGTCGACGCATGCATTTTTTTTTCTCCTCTACAGAGATTAACGAAACCACCATTATAGGCAATGTATTAGGCTTCGTATGATTTTTTTGTCCAGCCCATGCTGTCTCACTACTAGGCAGAAGTCTCCCCTATGTTTTTCCCAGTGGTTTTTTCCTGCACCACATCGAACCAGCCCCCACGGTATGCGTCCACGTTGCGTGAATTATACCATGTATATAGACTTTATAGCGGCTGGGAAGTTAGTTGCGAGCGCAAGTCCTGTACCTTAACGCTTCGCTTTGCGTACAGTGATCTGAGATAACATTAAGTTTTCTTTCAACTATATCTGCACGGACTAGCGCTCGCACTTAACTTCCAAGCCGCCACAAAGATTCGACAACACCTTTCTTTCATGGTAATGGTCGATTACAAGTTCAAGTTACCATGAACGTGCAGTAGACTGACCTTTATCTTGATTTATTTAAAGTTTGTGGAGCATGTGTTCTTTGATACATAGTTACTAGCCGTCATCTCTCTTTTTTTGATAATAAAGATTATTTATTTATTTATCTCAGTAATCTAATCGAGTTGAGCAGCCCCTTTCTAACCATATCACCGTTCACACAATCCATTAATCATTTAATTATCCTAACGTATTCCTCAATCTTCAGCATTCCATGTTCATACCTTATGACAACCAATTTTCATGCAACATTTTGGTCAATAGGGGTGGCTGCGCCACTTCAGAATTCCACTTCCATACTCATTTCTAATTATATCCCATTTGTGTAACACCACAAAATATCAATTTTATAGTGTTTACAACCTGCAAGTTGTAATTACTTCCACCAGTAGCGTAGTTAGTGGTGGATACTGGAGGTAAACGAGAGAGTAAGGATTAAAAATAATTAAAATAACAATAATGTATACTGATTAAAATCATTTATTCGTGACGAAATAATATTATTTAGTCAGAAATTTTATTTTAGACACATGAACCACATCACCTTTAAGCCGAACTACATCCAGCGTTCTATTTACACATTCTTTTTCAAAATGCAGGGAGCATATTCTTCTTACTACTGCAGGTTTTATGTTTTCCTGGCCTATATTATCAATCCACAATTTTTGAAGACCTTCTTTTTTTGTTTCTTTTTCTTTTTTTTCAACCTAAAATAAATATTATGCATCCTTAAGTAGTAATCAAAAATAACGTTAACATCATCAAACCTTTTGATGAAAAAAAATATTATAGAAAATTTACGATTTACACTATTTTCAAGTTCTTTTCTTAAATGAAAGGCTCTCAATCGATCGTTTAATTAAATATACAGTTTACGTATCTAAAACGTTATTTGATCATGGGACTACATTGATATTATTGTTAAAATTTATATCGATAATTTCAAAACATGACAGCACGTAAGGGCAACACTATGTAAAAATGTTAACAATCAAAATGTATACTTGTTTAAATTTACATAATAGTCATTGGAAATTCTATATAATAGCGGAAAACACGATTTAGAACCCATAACATGAACACGAAACGCAATTCACTCGAAAAAATATACAATTATGGAAAAAAACTACAACTAACCTGAAAAATGACAATCCTTCTTCATTTTTACGATAATTTGAATTACATCCATTGATGCAACACATTGTCATGTTGTTTTTGCTCAATTACCCTTTACTAATGAACATAAAAGCTCCAAAATAGTCAAAATTCACTGTAACACTGAAAAATAGCTCCGAACAAGGCTTAGATGACAGACGAACTACCACAAATGAACTGTAGTACCTACCTAGTATCTATACGTATGTCTGGGTATAATCTAATATATAAAGTTAACAATACGTAATTACAGAGAGTCTTACGCCAACACTCAAGTGTTTCATTTGACTCGTCCTTACATGGCGACCCTGCCAGGCGGTGCGCTGCGGCAATGCCCGCGCACCGCCGGGTCTACTATTTAAAAGAAGAAAAATATTATAAGAAAAGTTAATTAAATAATGGACATTTTTAAGAAGATTGACAATTTAAAAAAAAAATATATTAAAACGGAAGGGACGCAATACCGGATGTGACGAAAAATAAACAAATATGAATACAAGAAGAGGCCACAATAATTATTTTATTGAAAGTGACTGAAAATTTAAAATATATAATATATAGTACAATGAAGACGAGTAACGAGGAAGGAGGAAAACAAATAGTGGATTTTTTATATCATGACCAAATACCAAAATTATTCAAGACACGGCAGATTAATTTAAAAAGAAAAGAAGCGGTTATAGTAATCTTGACGAGCTACGTCCAGAACCAGAAGAATGTGAAAATTGAGTCAAAAAAGAACAAAGAAGAAATTAAGAGTTATTAAACTGCATCAGTGAGTTTACAAGAAGAAAAATTGAGGTAACCTATTTTTTGTCATTTCTCTATAAGATTTCTTTAAAAAGTTTTAACTATTATAAAAAAAAAAAAGTTATGTACTAAATATTCTGTATTTCATATATGCTTAAGTTGAAATTAATTATTAGATATTTTATATTAACGATTTATTTCTTATTTTATTATTGTTTTTAAAAAATCATATTACAATAATTATAAATTTAGTTGCGTAAGTGCTTCAGTGGCATTTGTATTAAGGCACTAGACGATTTTATATTCCCTTTTATTCAGTAATTGATTTGCAAAAAGTTATTAAATAATATGAAAGATAAAATTTTTACGTACTTAATTTTACCACATTTATTGTTAAAATAACAATGTGATACATTTCGTTGTTTTTTTTCTGTAGTCTTTTAATATAAAATTATACAATTCATTCAACAATCTAATTCTACAAATTCAACACCATATTTTTTATTATGTTGTAGACTATATAAAATAAAAAAGCACATAATGCATTTAATATTACATTTACGTTATTTACAAGTAACTTGAAAATATTTGTCACATTTTATAATATTTCTACTATATTCAAAAAAAACAACAATATATTAAGCTACAGCTTACGATGACCTGGTTCGGATTAAAGCAAATATATTTTTAAATCTAACCCAAATTTATTTCTGTAGTAATTTTTATTTAAATGTATATAATTTTGAAGGATTTAAAAAAATCGCTATTAATAAAAGTCATAATTATTTTTCTTCTTTTCTAAAGGTATGAAAACCTTGAAACGATTTTAAAGTTATAAATAAATAAATATATATTCTTTAATAAATAACCTGAAAGTTAATATAACCTACTTAAAAATGAAAATCATTCTTCTCTTTGTTTAAATAAATTAATGTTTTGTTTATATAAACTGGGTAGCCGTTATAGTGACGATGACTTATGTTCCCGTTAGTATTTCTTTGTTCTGTATCATAACATGAAATGTAGTTTATTCATTTCGATTTTGCATTTATTGAACTTTTAAATCATAAACTTTTAACTATTATAATTTAATATTTTTTTGGAAAATAGTACTTACTTGTGTGGAATATGGAAATGTTTTCTTCGCTTTATATGATTTTGAAACTCATTTCATAAGGTATACAATTAATTGATATAAATTTTGTTGTGCCCATATTGTGAGCCTCAATCCCTAACTGACAATGATGTAAATAACTAAATAATATACGAGACTATATGATATAAATTTATAAAAGACATAAGTAAATTTATGGATAAGTTACGGAGTTTATCATTATGAATGAAAAATATTGATAGAAATACAAGTAGAATATGTGGCTTAGGTATAGAAAATTGTCGGTGGTTAGCATATCCACATACAATCAGCCTGATCAGCTGAGAGTTTGGAAAAACTAATAACCGATTAATTTTTAGGCTTGTTCGGAAACTATTAAATGTGGAATAAGTTTTAATGTATTTTCAATGAGGGAAATGAGAATTTATTATGAATTGCATAGGAATATTGTTCATAATCTTGGGTACTATTAAATAATGAGGTATAGGTAAGTACCATAAAAGTAAAGAAACAAATAGGAATAAAACGAAAGTTGACCTACATAAAATAAGTAATGGAGAGATACGGGAACGTCCATCACTGGTAAAGCATATAGTCCTCGAGCAGGGTA